CAGAACCACCAAGGCTCCCAGGAGTATTAAATCGGCTTTAGAGTATTACATCGCCTGGGATTTTCATTTTGCTTGTTTATTGTTCGATTCAGTTCCTTTGACTGAGCGAGATCGCGGTCGAGATCCCAACCTCATCGGCCATGGCCCGATTCAAATACATCTATTTAAGTTTCGCTCACTCTGACATAAATAGCCTATTAATGTATGAGAGTAAATTACATTTTATGGTTGTTGTCGTTAAGGCTATTATCAAGCCTGTTAAACGTCTTTTAATTGACGTAAATGGGCCATTAAGTGCCCAGAAAGCAAGCTTGGTTTGCTAAACCCTCTTATTGGGGGTATTTATGTGCATGAAACAAGCTATACAGCTGGTTATAGATTTTAAACAATTAAGTACATGCATAGAAAGAAAGTGAACTCAAGACTCCAATTCTGTTTTGTGCCTCAATCCGTTGATCTAATCAGGAAGATTCTTCCACCTTGTCTCCCCAACAAGATACTAGAGTGTGACACTACTCCAAAGATGAAAACTCACAGTAAAATCGGCTTATCACCTAACTCTGGAGTTAGCTCTTGCCTCAAGTCGAAAACCGATAGTCCATTTTATCGACGCCCCCATTTGGATAAAACTTGGAATATCCAAGTCCCACCTAAACTTGAAGTCTTGATATGACAATGTCTTAAGGTCATTCTTCCCACAGTGGTAGACCTACAAACTCGTGGAGTTAACTGCCTCAATCATTGCCCTGTGTGATGGCGATATCAAGAGAGCATTGAACACTTATTCTTCAGATTTCCCCTAGCCACCAAGTTGTGGACCTTAGTGGGATTGGGCAACTTCATTGATTCCACCCCCGACTGTTAATTTTAGTCTATGGTGGCGACATATGTCATGATCTTTGTGATATCCCCATCCCACATTCTCCAATGCGTCTGTTTACTTTGGAGAATCTGGAAGTCTATAGATAAAGTGACTTTTGAATTCTACCAACCTCGTGTCCGTTCCCTCGCCAGACAATTCTACAACCAGGTCCTTGAACTCTCCAATTTTCAGCCCCCTCTTCGGCCGCCCAGATCGCCCCTTCCAAATCCTCCTCTTGCCTTTTGGGAGCCTCCACCAGACAACTATTTGAAGATCAACTTCGATGCACCTGTTCGTGACTCAGGGTGCTCGTCTGGTCTTGTTATTCATGGGTCAGAAAGGTAAGTGGTGCTGGCAGCCGGTATGCGTCACTAGGGAACAGTCAACCCCTCCCTGGAAGAGCTCCTAGCAGTAAGAGATTCTATCATCGACTTCGCCTCAAGATCTTCGACTCACGTGGTAGTGGAAGGTGATTTTGATGTGGTCGCCAATCAGTTCCGGCAAGGTAATCTAGAAGATTCCTTTGGAGGTTCGGTGCTCTGGGAATGTCGTCAGATCCTAGACTCTTTTTCAGTTTGTATAGAGTTTAGGACGGTTTCTAGAGCCACCAACTGTGCTGCCCATTGAGTGGCGTGTAAAGCACCGATATTGTCTAGAGTTAGAGTCTTTCAAATTTATTGGGTGGCTTCATTAGGGTGTCGCTTGTAGGGGGGTTCATGGGTAGTTTTGTTTGTAACTCTTGTCTTCTCTTGATATCACTCGGAAAAAAAAAATAAAAAAGTTATTTCGTTTTCTTCAGCTGCTTCTTTTTCTTGTCAATTGGTTGCCACCAATGAAAACAGAAACTAAAGTGAACACGTTTTTTCCAATGTGAAATACCATACTAGAGGTCGTATCGGAAAAGTCAGTGGTAGGGTATTTTATGTTGAACTCGTAGTTTAATCTTGGTTAATCTTTTCATACCGCTTACCAATTTCTCTTCCGATTGTGATTTTTCTAGTCGAACCACCGGTACGATACAGTTTTTCCATCCTTAATTTTCTCTTCTTAATTTTTAGATTTATGTTGGGGTTATAGATAAATCGGGGTAAATTGCAAGTATGGTCACTGAGATTACTAAAAGGGTAAATTGCAAGGTTGGTCACTGGAATTACTGTAAAGTTTTAAGTTTGGTCACTAGAAATACTTAATTTCATTCATAGTCACCAACTTTACATTTTCGTTTCATCATTAATCACTCTCCGTCCAATTCCGTTAACTTTTGACTATGTGGCAGTCAACTCTTATAGTTGACCGTTAAATGTGTGACGTGGCATTTAAAAAATTAATAAAAAATAAATTTCAAGATTTTTAGATTTTCCACCTCATTTTCCACCATTAAGAAACCATAATAAAATTAAAATTTTATGATCCAATAACCGCTACCCGACCGCCTCCGCCTTCTACACAACCCAGTAATCACTCTTTAGCCGACCTCCATCTACCCAACCGCCTCCGACTCCTTCACAACTACTCCCTTCACTTCCTCGGCCTCAGCACCTCCATCGACTCCGCCGGCCTCCTCAAGAACAACGACTTTGCTCTGACCTTATCATCGCGATACTCGACAACGACATCTCTCCTGACCGCCAAAGCTTCCAAGACCTTGACCTCCCTTCGGTCCCATCAAAATGGAAGGTTCGTACGTCTCGACTATCAATTTCCCTTCTTCCTCTTGCAACCGCAAGCTCGTCGGCGTGAAATTCTTCTATGCAGAGTACGAGGCCACCAAAGGGAAGATGAATCAATCTTCGAGTTCCGCTACTCTCGTGAAATTGATGGAGAAAAAGGGCATCATATATTAAGAATTGGAATAATCACATAAGGAAAAAGGAATTTACCATTTGATGGAGAAAAAGGGTCGTCGGTCGTTACGTTTACCCTGCTTCGACTCTCGGCTACGCCAAGGGACTCGATGCCTGCCTCTCAGTTTCACCACTAGTAAGCGATATCATCCGACGGGAGGAGGCTCGGGAGAAGAAAGCCTCCATGATGTTGGCGACGGTGGTCGTTTCTTCAGGCGACAGCGGCCGTGGAAGTGGCGAAGGAGAGGGATGGAGGAGGTAGATCGATAGAGAGGGGTTGATGATGGTGAGGATGGGAGAGGGGTGAAAGGGCTAGGGATGGATGAGTTTGGGCCAACGATGAGATCGCACAAAAATTGAGCGGCGACATCTAGGGATTTAGAAGAGTCGGAGGCGATCTTACGGGTGAAGAGTGAACGACGAATGTGATAGGGGAGAGAGAGCGAGGTGAATCAGAGGGATTAAAAGTCTAAAAGTAATTATTTTTCAATTTTTATTTTTTATTAATTACAATAATGATGTGGAAATTTTGAATCATTAAATTTTATTTTTTATTAATTTTTTAAATGCCACGTCACACATTTAACGGTCAACTATAAGAGTTGACTGCCACGTAGATAAAAGTTAACGAAATTGGACGGAGAGTGACTAAAGATGAAATTAAAATGTAAAGTTAGTGACTACGAACGAAATTAAGTATTTCTAGTGACCAAACTTGAAATTTTATAGTAATTCCAATGACCAACCTTGCAATTTACCCTTACTAAAAATGTTCACATTTGGTACTAAAAATATTTAAAGAATTAGATGATTGGAAGAATGTATTGTTTGGTTGTAGCCATTGAAAATTTTTAAAGAAAAGAAAAAATCACTTTATGAGCTAAAAGTGGAACAAATTAAAGCCAACAATCTCAAAGAAAAAATATCACCTTTTTGTTGAGATTTAAAATGAGTGATTGTGGGTGATATGAGTTTCGAGGGTCCACCTCAAATATATGTATTGAATAAAGTTTTGGAACAAAAAATGATGGCTTCTCCAGAATACATGAATTCAAAGAATCATTCATCTAGAATCATAACTTCCAAACGACCCCTTAATGCACTTCGTGGTCACTAAAATTAGTTAAATATTTCAAGTTTGATCACTCTCCGTCCATTTAACGGTCAACTCTCATAGTTGACCGTTAAATGAGTGACGTGACAGTTAAAAAATATATTCTTCAACAATTTTCACCTTGGGATGGCAATTTAGACTCACCCCGTCAGGTATTACTCGACTGACCCGCAATGGGGCGGGTATTACCCGACCTGTAGTAGGGTGTGGGGCATGGGTATTTACTTCCTACCTACCCCGCCCCGCGATGCCCAATTCTTAGAATATTGTATCCCAATTTCTTACAATATCTATTCATATTTCTCCTATTTTGACTTCTCTTCAACTAATTAGACTTGATCTTTCAACTAGTTAGACTCAATTACCCATTCTATTATCACAATTTTTCATTCATAAATTGTTTTCTCTTTGTTTTATCGTAAAAATAAAATGTTACTTGTATTTTTTTCTAATAACATGTAATAATGGGTCGACCCGGCCTGCTCATACTCGTGCGGATATTACCTGTCCTAACTCGTAGTACCGTGGGGCGAAACATAGATTTCGAGGTACCCCCGCCCCTCCGCATTGCCATCACTATATTCCACCTCATTTTTAACAATAAATTACAATAAGTAACAATTACCAAAATTGAAATTAACCATTCTCACAAAAAAAAAAAAAAAAAAAAGGAAATCAACCCTTCACTCATCACACAATTCAACAGGGGCACAGGGCGTTAGAGCATTATACGAAGGCATGTCCAACATTTATAATGATTTGTGATGAATCAATATGCATTGGGCCGAACCGGTAGAAGGCCCAATCCAACTTTTTCTTTAGGTCAAATAAAGCGCCGCGCCGTTCCAGGTTTACCATTCTTGCCCTAAGCAGCACATAAGTGTCCGTGAGAGCCAAGTCATCCAGCTAACGAACAAAAACTCCATCTGAAAGTTTGGAAAACAAGAACAGAAACCCTAATCCAAGGTACTTCTCCTTCCTTTCTACTTGTTCTTCTCCGTTCTTGCGTGTATCAACTTGCAGGCTGCAGCATTACGCAGCCAATTGATTATGCCCTTAATCCCAGTCCCGAAAGCACTCTATGGTCCATCCTTCTTTGTTCTGCAACTTTGTAGTCTTTTTTGTATGTTCTTTCAATTCTCTTCTGTCGTGATTGAAAGTGGCGTTTTTTCTGCATTGTAGCTCTCGATTATATCGGTGTGCTTGTAGTTTCTGAATCCCTGGCTGCTGTTTGTTGTTCGTCATGGCGACCAGTAAGTTTCCTGACAAAATGATTGCTATGATGTTCGGGTGAAGAATAGAACAAGTTTTTCTTATTTATGTATAGCTTAAGATATTTTGTTTTCCTTACTCAGGGCTTCAATTCGAGAACAATTGTGAAGTTGGTGTTTTCTCCAAGCTCACAAATGCATACTGCTTGGTCGCGATTGGAGGGTCTGAAAGCTTCTACAGGTAAAAACGCTTCTTCCAGATAAAGTTTGAACCTTTTCTGCGACGATTATGAGATGATGATTGAAACATTTTTTTTTTGGAATGGCTGGTCTCTGGACTGCTTGCCCTTGTTGCAGTATCTATGAGTCCGAGTTGGCAGATGTCATTCCCGTGGTTAAGACCTCAATTGAGGGCACTAGAATAATCGGCAGGACATGTTGCTGGTAAGATCAGTGTTTGTCTGTTGTTTCGTATTGTTGTCGTCGTCGTTTGCCAATGATTTGTGCTCACTCCTCTATCCTTCCTGTTGATATGACTTCAAAGGAAAAGGTGGAGTTGTGTATGTATGCAAAGGTTCAAGGAAGGTGCTGAAGGGCGTGAAGCGTGGGACCTTGTATGCATTACAAGGGTCTGTGTTGTCTGGTTCTGCTGCAGTTGCATCGTCTCAGGTTCAACAAGAAGATATGACCACTCTCTGGCACATGAGACTGGGGCATATGAGTGAACGAGGGATGCAAGTTCTATCGAAGAGGGATCTTCTTTGCGGGCACAAGGTGCAGAATTTGGAATTCTGTGAGCATTGTGTGTTTGGGAAGCTACATCGCAGCAAGTTTCCCAAGAAGGGTATCCACCGGACGAAGGGGATACTGGATTACCTCCACTCCGACTGTTGAGGTCCTTCATGAGTTGAATCCATTGGAGGCAGCAGGTATTTTCTGTCTATTATTGATGATTATTCGAATTTACTTGGATTTTCATGATGAAGCAGAAAAGTGAGGCTTTCACGAAGTTCAAGCAGTGGAAGACATTGGTGGAGAATCAGACCGGTAAGAAGATCAAGAAGCTGCCAACGGACAATGGTCTGGAGTTCTGTAATTCTGAGTTCAACGAATTCTGCAAGGATGAAGGGATTGCCCGTCATCAGACTGTTAGAGATACACCCCAGCTGAATGGCGTTGCAGAAAGGATGAACCAGACATTGTTGGAGAGAGCACGATGCATGCTCTCTAATGCTGGACTAGAGAGAAGATTCTGGGTAGAAGCAGTGAACATGGCGTGCTTCCTGATAAACCGTGGACCTCACACAGGTATCGAGTTGAAGACTCCTTATGAAGTGTGGTATGGTAAGCCTGCTGATTACTCTTCACTGAAAGTTTTTGGGTGTCCTATTTATTATCACGTGGATGAGGGTAAACTGAACCCAAGGGCAAAGAAGGGTGTTTTTGTGGGTTACGGAGATGGAGTTAAGGGAGTTCGAGTCTGGTCACATTCTGAGCATCGAGTTATCCTTAGTAGAAATGTGATATTTGATGAGAAGTCTATGTTTAACCCCATGTTGAAGGTCACTGTTGTTGAAGGTAGCAGGAATGTTGATAAGCAGGTGGAACTGCAAACTCTCAATGAGAGTGAGTTTGAGCACCAAGGTGGAGAAGATCAACATGATGATGATGTCTCTGCAGGGCCAGAAACTTCAGAGTCCAGTGCACGAGCTCAACAGTCTATTGCTTCCGGTAGACCGAAGAGAGCGACTGCAGGAGTACCTCCACAGAGGTATGGCTTCGAGGACATGGTGGCGTATTCATTTCAGGTTGCTGAAGAAGTGGATGCAGGAGAGCCACAGTCCTATAGAGAAGCAGTTTCGGGTGGTGAAGCTGATCAGTGGCTTGCCGCAATGGGAGATGAGATGGAATCCCATAACAGGAATCAGACTTGGGAACTAGTCAAACGACCACAGGGAAGGAAGATTGTTACAAACAAGTGGATCTACAAGAAGAAGGAAGGAATCACTTCTAAAGAGGGCATGAAATTTAAAGCTCGGGTGGTTGCACGAGGCTTCTCGCAGAGGGAAGGAGTTGACTACAATGAGATTTTCTCACCAGTGGTCAGACATACTTCGATCAGAGTGCTACTAGCAATAGTGGCACATTATGACTTGGAGCTCGAGCAGCTAGACGTGAAGACAGCTTTCCTGCATGGAGAGTTGGAGGAAGAAATTTACATGACTCAGCCAGAAGGATTCGAGGTTCTGAGAAAAGAAGACTATGTTTGTAAGCTGAAGAAGTCCTTGTATGGGCTTAAGCAATCTCCGAGGCAGTGGTACAAGAGATTTGACAGTTACATGCTTGAGCTGGGCTACAACAGAAGTCCATATGATTGTTGTGTATATCACAGCAAGGCAGAGGATGGTTCGATGATATATCTAGTTCTGTATGTGGATGATATGCTCATAGCTGCGAGGTCAAAGTCTGATATCCAGAAGTTAAAGGGGCTTCTCAGTGCTGAGTTTGAGATGAAGGATTTGGGAGCTGCTCAGAAGATCTTGGGTATGGAGATTTACAGGGACATGTCGAAGAAGAAGCTTTTCTTGTCACAGAAGAGCTACATCCAGAAGATACTGTCGAGGTTTGGCATGTCTTCAGCAAAGCCCTTAAATACTCCTAGTGCTTCAAATGTTCATCTATCCTCAGCTTATGCACCGCAATCAGAGGTTGAGAAGGAGTACATGTCGAGAGTCCCATATGCTAGTGCAGTAGGTAGCTTGATGTACGCTATGGTATGCACTAGACCTGATCTTGCACATGCTGTTAGTGTTGTCAGCAGGTTTATGATACAACCTGGAAAGGAGCATTGGCAGGCTGTGAAGAGGATCTTCCGGTACCTTAAGGGTACACCTGATGTGGGGATTAGCTTCGGAAGTGATGCAGAGTGCTTGGTGTCTGGGTATTCTGACTCGGACTATGCTGGAGATGTTGACACGAGGAGATCGATGACCGGTTATGTATTCACTCTTGGGAGTTCTGTAGTGAGCTGGAAGGCAACTCTGCAGTCGTCGGTAACATTGTCTACTACTGAGGCAGAGTATATGGCGTTGACAGAAGCGGCTAAGGAGGGAATATGGTTGAAGGGACTGGTTGGTGATCTGGGTCTACATCATGATCAGGCAGTGGTGTATTGCGACAGTTTGAGTGCGATATGCTTGGCCAAGGATCAAGTCCACCATGAGAGGACTAAGCACATCGACGTGAGGTATCATTTCTTGAGGACAGAGAAGAGGATTAAAGTGAAGAAGGTTGGCACCGCGGATAATCCTGCTGATATGTTCACGAAGCCGGTTCCACATGGCAAGTTCCAACACTGCTTGGACTTGCTGAATGTCTTGAGTGGGTGACTCCGCCCTACGGGGCATTGATGGCGGGAGAGAGAGAAGGAGCAGAGTACATCAGAGATTTCAGAGGAAGAGGATTCAAGTCAAGGTGGAGATTTGTTGATATGACTTGAATTGGACTATCAGCCGCTACGACTGGTAATCGGGGGTCTCGATGTTATTTGGGTTCGGGTTCTGGGCCTGGTCTGTAACCGTTTCCTTTGCCAGATTGGATTAGGTTTAGACCCACATGGAGAAGTACTATAAATACTTCTCATACTCCTCTGTAATCTGTAATCTCCTTGATATAGTGAAATCGGCTCTCTCTCCCCCGTGGACGTAGCTAACACACATCGTGTTAGTGAACCACGTAAATCGTGTGTCGTGTTTTCGATTCTCGCTTTCGTATTCTTGCTTTGTCGATTCCGGCGATTTCCCGATCCGTAGCAGCGCGTTTATAACACTTCCTTTGGCAGGAAACAAAAATGGACTTCTTGTGCCACACACCACCACTGATCAGGGTGAGTTTGATGAGTTTTATTCGACGACATGTCTGCTTCTGGTCAATTAGTGCCTTCGTTGATTGGCCGACTCTAACCATCTGTGCTCGCTTCTCACTCTGTAGAACTTCAACACTTGAGGAACAGTCTCCCTGATTCAGTTGTTGTCCAGAGGATAGACGAGAGATTGAATGCTCTTGGAAATCACATTGCTTGTAACGACCATGTTGCTCTTGCACATACTGATCTTGACAGGGTAAGGGTTTATAACTGTTGTCCAAACATGTCTGTTATCATCACTCAAATGTCTTATGTTGCTAAAAAGTTTGCAGCATTGCTTGAAATATCTCAGTTCATAGCATTTTCTTCAGGGCTAATTATCCCTTCCAATTCTACTATGACTAGGAAACTGAAGAACTGATAGCTGATGTTCTTGGGGTTGAAGTATTCAGGACGACTATCGCTGGTAATATTCTTGTAGGAACCTACTGTGCTCTTTCAAACAGAGGCGGCATGGTAAGGGCACACTAACCTTTTACTTCTCTTTTCTTGTCTAGAGTTTGCACAATACGTGCCATTATCTCATTTCCACCAGTCAAAAACTATACGCAGTGCACCCCCACACTTCCATTGAAGAGCTGGATGAGCTTTCCACCCTTCTTCAGGTCCCCTTGGTTGCCGGAACAGTTAACCGTGGCAGTGATCTCATAGCCGCAGGAATGACAGTTAATGACTGGACTGCATTCTGTGGCTCAGACACTACAGCAACAGAATTGTCTGTCATCGAGAACGTTTTCAAGTTGAGGGAAGCTCAACCCAGCGCCATCGTGGATGAGATGAGGAAGTCTTTAATTGACACTATTTAGTGTCAGCTGGGAGTGTGCCACATCTCTGTATTCCCAAATTGTCTCATGTTTTCCTAGTTATCTCCATTGTAAGATTGAGTTTTCACTTTTGAAACTTGACATAGTTGGTATTTGGTCTATACCGGTGGTGTTATCTGCTTACCAGTGCAGACTGCAGAGAGTGGATTCAGACATTTCCTTGCCTTTATGTTAGGCATTGATGAGGCTGTAGGACTTTGTTGTGTTATTACACATGAGGAAGTGCATGCTTTTCTGAAACTGAAAAGCAACCGAGGGTTAAGGTGGATCTTGAATTGTTATATTTGATTATTATGTGATGAATTAGTTATGATGTGATCACATGGCTACCTGGTTGGATTTGGCAGAAAGTGGCGAACTAGGAGATAATACAGTACGAATGCAGATCATTGATCAACAGTAAGAACTAAGAAGCAAATTGAATCTCAGAAAACCACACAAATATTGGCCAATGAATTATGATCTTATGGATGAGAGCTGCTCTGTTTATTGTTAAACGGTTTTATCATCCGGATTCTCATTCGTGAAGGAATCTGCATGTACAACAAGCTTTCATACGCATGTATGGTGATCATTAATCAATAGACGTTCGTTCACCTTTTTCTTTGGGGGATCTCAGTAACTTACAACTTACCATTGTAAGTGCATAGTTGACTAGAAATTGTCAATCCTTAATGCTAGCTATGAACAATCTAAGGTCTCTGGCTCTTCTCAAATGCTCTGGTGACCTCTCGGTCTCCGAGTCACTCAAGTCTATCACCGGGATTACTATGGGTTCAGCATTCTCATTTTGACATGTTGGAAATACGCGACTACTAGGGAGTGGGGCAGGCGTAAGAAGATCAATGAACTCCGTGGTAGTGCTATTACTTTGAAGAGGCGAAATCAACATGAACTCCGTTGTAGTTTTATCACTTTGAAGAGGTGAAATTGACATGTCACAACTCTCTGAACCTGCTTCTTCATCATGCCAAGCTTCTGAGTTACCGACCATCTCATCACATTTCTTGGCATCTTCATGAGGAGTGCAGCTGCTTCCGTTTCCTGAATCAATTTCAAGCAGTAGATTTTGGAGCTTCGAGTCGAGTTCTGCAGCAGCATGCCCCTTCTGTGGCTTCTTAGTTCTTGCTTTTCGCTGATTTTGTTTCTTCGCTATAGCTTTGTTCTCCTCAAACTCCACAATCTTTTCTGGACAAGCACTGGAGAGCACATATGATTTTTTGTTATATGAAAAGAATCTTACCAAAGACCGACATTAGCAATTCCCACCCTCATCATTAAACTTACTTTTGTATGAGATCTGCTGGAACTATGGAGGTCTTAAGCCCATTGAAAGCTTCCCATAAGACCTCGAAGCAATCTCTTCCCTGGACTTTTCTAGGTTTGATGATCTCAGCAACAGGGCATTTGATTGGCATCTGTGTAAAACACATATAGGAAATTTTATCATATGATTTCTGAATGGGAACAGAAAGATGAGAAGGACGAGGAGATGGAAAAGGCAGAGTACCCTGTTTAGAGAAGGCGCAACTCCTAGCTGTGATGAAGTGGAACGTAGGTTCGCGAATCTCCTTAGTTCCCTCTCGGCTACTTTTGGGAGGATGTATTCATCTAACTCAAGAACAAGGCAATGGCACTAAAAGCAGGCCCTTAAAATAAGAAATGGGTTTCTTTTCATCAAAGAAAAGTTTCAGTCTACCTGTTTTCTCAGGAGGCCAATCAAAGAAGTTGGCACAAATCTGCTGCAACTTGGCAGGTTGAAATGGGTACTGGCCAAGAACCCTGTAGACTGCTTCTGAATCGATGGAGTGACACTTGGGCTTGAGATATGCATTGATTACTTGCAAGAATTCCTTTTGCCTTTCTGAGTCAACAGGAGCTTCAGGTTCCAACTGGTTGTCCTTAAGAGATGCAGAGTCATGTTTCTTTGAAGTCTTCTTCTTCCTAGCAAGGGAGAGCCGTTCAGATGCTATTTTCTGAAGGATGCTGGCGTCTCCAACTGTTTTCACAATTTGGCAAGCTGACTCCTGCATATAATAGGAATTAGGTGCATTGTTGTTGTTGCCCCATTCTGGTGAAGAAGTAAAAGGTTTGACAAAATGAGGGGAGTAACAATATAGTCAAACATACTGGTCCCAGCCCGTAAACTCCACTGGAGTAATCCCCTCCAAGAAGAAGGGCCAATGTAATCTGCAGACAACAACACAAACTCGTAGATTAGCCCTGGCCTTCAGTGCCTAAGTTGGCTCAGGCCCTCAGGCTAAAGTGTTCCCTTCAGTGCATTAGAGATGGAGAATCTTACCAACGAGTTCCTACCATACCCAAGTTTTGTTTCTATGTCGGCCATTTCATAGCACACGACGTGACCACCATCCCCTTACCATCAGACATTAAGATTAGCAATGGCATTTATAGAATAAAGTTGTTAATGAGGCTGAAGAAGTTTGAAAGAACAGTTATCCGCTGATCAGTCTTACCAAGGGATATGTCTCTGTACACAGTTCTTGCACCAAAAAGGAAAATATCTGAATCTGAACTGAAGCATCCATCCTGATCAAGTAAAACAATAGGCCACAAACTCTCAAGTGCTCCAAACTATACCAGCAAAGTCTCAAGTAACTAAGTAAGAAAAAGAAAATCTTGATGCTTACACACTGAGATTCTGCATTTAATACTGCACACTGCGCTTCAGCTTCCTCGACGCTGAGAAAAGACAGAGAGCGGGTTGTCAGGGTTCTTTGTTGAGAACAATAGAGCACAATCATCATCGCCTCGTGGTTAATGATCTCCGCATTGATATAACATAAAGCCAACAACAACGCTGTCCTCTCTTGCCTTCAATGCTACAAATCAAGTAGGGAAACGACAAGTTAAATTGCAGCTTTACCTGTCTAAGCAAGGGATCCCAAGAGCTGATCCCAGCAACTTTGCTTCCTTTATCATGCGAGAGAACTCCGAACCTGCATTTCTGCGAAGTGAGCATGCATTTTGTGAACCAATCTCATCTTGAGCAGCCTGCAGTATCACAATGAAAATTTCTCAAAAGCCTGAACAAACTAATAGGAATAAATCATGGAGAATGAACAGTCTCCAAAGAAAATACCTCAGTTCCAGAATTCAAGCGGCGCCTGTAAGTGGCCAATTTGATTGCTGGAATCGAACCATCTGGAAAAGCAGGCACCAAAAATCCAGCCGAAGCCTTATTATAAACAACCAGAGATCTGGACAGGCTGCTCCAACTAAACCTAACCACACCCATCAAGACTATCAATCCAACCCGAACTTTCCCAAAGAAATCATCAGCAACCCAACTACCAAAATCTACTGAGCGGAAGTCTAATCGTACAGAAGATTCCAACTTTCGAACAATTCCAAGCAAATACATTACCGGTAACAAAGATGAGGCTACAATTCAAAGCAATGAGCGCTCTAATGCGGTGAAAGAGACCCTTGAGATAGAGCTTCTCTTTGAGAGCACAATGTGATTTGTTCACCCTTTCAAGCTGAACCATCCAGCACGACAGATCTACGCACACCCTCTTGTTCCTTCAAAGTTAAATTACCCAAATTCCCACTCAGCTTCCAACTAATTAGGCGAGAAAGAGGAGGGAAATGAGCAAATGAAGAAGCAAGGGAACCAACTTACTGAAGATGATGGAGTGGCAGAGTTTTCTTGCACGATTCCAAGATATCCCACAAGTTCTTCACCCCCATTATTATTTACTTCATCTGAAAGAAGAGACAGACTTTACAGAAAACGTCCTCCGGCAAGCAGCAAAGGAGGGAAGAAAGAGCGTTCTCGAGGTTTCAATTTTTTCGAAGTGCTAACCGCTAGCCGTATCTAATGATTTCGGAAGTGTTCTGTGAAGACTGAAGACAGAAGGCTGGTTGTTGGGGAAATTGTGGATAAAGCCGAAGCCCAGAAAGGTATATGGACTGGACCATATCCTTTTCTTTAAAGAAAGGCCCATGTCTTTCTTTCTTTTCACTTGGTAGTATATGATAGTAGTAGCCAATGAACTACTTAGAGGATTAGGTTGGTTTGGATGGATGATTTGGATGAGCTCGTTTGGATGGATCATTTGAACGAGTGATTTTATTCGGAATTATTTGAGAATAACGCAATAACTCTGAATAACGCGAAATCGCGTTATAACAAATAACTGGGGGCGTGTGGTATTCTGAAATAACGTGCCCCCTCTCTTTTCTGCCCCTCTCATGTCTTCTTCCTTCTTGCCTTTTTGTGAAATCCTTTTGATTCTTCTGTCTGAATCCAAATCGATTGAGCCAAAATCGATTATGCTGCTACTTTTGAATTCCAGTCCGCATACCAATGAGATTGAGTAGGCGAAACCCTACGTTGCGATGAATAGGCGGCAGCGAACAAAAGTCTTCTTTTGCAACGAGGAGGAGGCGGTGAGGATGCAAATGCAACGACAACAGGGGGTCGAAGGAGACGGCAACATGGGGTTCGTTGGTGACTGCGACATGATTCAAAGGCGACCCACAAAAAAGTAGCATGGTGATGTGAGCTAGTTTTGTCAATTTCAAACCTGATATTATGATGAGGATAATTTACTTACATTTCCCAAAGTATATTTTCGAGTGATTGGTCGAGGAAATTCACGTACCAACTGATCATTGGTCTAATGGTACTAGTCAGACGATGATAAGTGTAATATGAACGATTGGAATCTTACAACAGTTTTATGTGAATCATTAGCCTACTAATGCTAGTGGGTAAATGATGACTATTATGATTGGTTTACCAAATGATTAGAGCATAACTGAATTAATGAAGACATTATGAAGTTATATATGTTTCATATTAGGGGGTAAGCTAGACATTTTCCCAGTGTACCAAACGCTCCCTAGCAGTTCGAGACTGGAACACGAGAATCATGAGATGAGAGCAAAGGAAGGAGGTGATCGCATGTAATTTCCCCGAACAAAATCAGACAGGAGATCCGCTGAAAACTGTTTATGTTACAACATTTTTGTTATAGAAGAAGTGATGCCATGCCGACAACAACATGATTTTTTTTATATTTTCCGGTGTTAACCCAAAATCAATCAAAATCGTGGATATAAACAAGATGAGCAAATTCCAGTAGTTTGAGTTCTTCTCCCGACTAATGAAATCACATTTGGTGGGGAGTAAAGAGAGAGGGAGAGAGAAATGTGTGTCTGAATTTCACCCTCACTGCGTCTCGCAGTGTGAAAAAGTTTAAGGTTTTTTTGG